ACTATTGTAAAAGGCACAAGCCATAATTCCCCTCAAAATAGTCCCCCATCTTTGCGTGTACTTATACTTTCATTCTTGCCACACTCTGAAGCAGTTCTGAAAACCCTGTTTCATCTACCCCTGAAGAACTGATTCACAAAGTAGCTAGGGTGGGACAAATGTGTTTAAAGCTAGAGGTTATACTTTGCGGGACATTATGGCAATGTGTCCTGACCGTAAAAGAAATGCAAATCAAAACATCATTGAGATTTCACCTTACTGGAGCAAGAATGGCCATCATCATGATTACAAAAAAGAAGAAATACTGGTGAGATGGTAGTGGGGAAACATTTCTATACTCTTGGTGGGAATGTAAGTTAGAACAACCAATATGGAAATCAGTACAGAGATTCCCTTAAAAACTAAAAACAGAAATTCTACTTGACCCAGCCATACCTTTTCCAGGTATCTTTTCAAAATTTTAAGGATATAATATAACTGTAATACATGCATACTCATGTTCATAGCAGCATAATTGATAAAAGCTAAATCTTAGAAGTAGCGTATATGTATATCACCTCATGGGTGGACAAAGGCACTATTCTTATAAACAATGAAGTATACTTTGCTATAAAGAAGGATAAATTTGAGTTATTTTTTAGAAAAATAGATACACCTTGAGACCAAAGTACTAATCCAGATAAATCAAACACAGAAGGTTAATTATCTCATAGCTAGTCTTATAAATTAGACCTACAATATAAATAATTTAAAGAGCAAAATAAAAGATGATAGGAAACAGGAAGGTTGATATTTTACAGATGAGAAGGGGATCAAGTGATTGAGAGTGAGGAAAGCAAAAGGTGAGAAGGGGAAATAAAAACAACTAAGATGTGATATGTGTATTACCAGTTCCCAAGGATGGATGTATTCATGATGTATCACAAACATGTAGCAAACAAACAAAAAAATAAGCTCAATGTTCCCACCCAGTGCCATCCAAAAGAAAGGCAGGCCCAGAAAGCATCACAATATGTCATCATCTACCTTACTAACTGAATCTGGCATAGCCAAAATGACCAAAATGAGACAAAATGAATGGATTCAGGACTTTGTGCCAGGCAGGACAGTACAGTGAAAAACAATGACAAAAAAGGACTTCTTGAAAACCTTCAAAAAATGGCAAGAACAATGGGATAAGTGTATTTGAAGGGATGGGGGATATTCTGAGAGGAATTAGTGGCAATATATCTTTTACTGCAATATGTTTGTAAAATTTAAGCACACACTTTAAATTTTTCGATCATACCTGGTAAACTCAAAATTGTGTTTTGAGTGAACAATAATTTGATGCAAGGTAGAACCTCACCGCCATTGGTGCCACAGCACTTGGAAACCCTGAATTGAATTAGAAAGGCAGAATCTGAGCCTCTTTTGACTGAAGAGCTACATTTTCAGAAGAACTGCATAGCTGGAGAAGTCACTGTGAAAAGGTGCAGACCCTCGCCACTCAAATCCTGGGTATATGGCTTCGAGGTGCTTCTTAGAGTATATGAAAAAGAAAGAAGGGAAGACATTTCATTGTGGTCTAGTCACTTTCAGGGCACAAAATATCTGACACTCACAACCTAAAGGAGATGATGTTCATTTTGGTTCACAGTTCAGGCACATTTGGCTAGCTGTAGGTAAGAAAGAGGATGGCAGAGGGGCGTGGCAGAACAAGGCTGCTCAGCCCATGGCAACCAGGAGTCAGAGAGAGATGAGAGGCTCAGGGGACAAGAATACGCCTTTCCAGGTCAAGCCAGGGGTGACCCACCTCAACCCTCAAACCAGGATTCACCTTCTAATAGCACGTTTAGCTGTGAACTCAGCAATGGATGAATCTACTGATGAGTATGTAGGCCCATGATCCAATCCCCTCAAGCACATTAGACTTTGGGGGGATATTTTAGATCTAAACCATAGCACCTTGCCACACACCCATTTGTGATCTCACAACAGGTACCCTGATTTGGAATTGGGAGATCTAGATTGGATCTACAGCCTTGTCATTTCCCACTTATTTTAAGTCAGGTACACTATTAGAATTCCTTTAATTCAGGACCCTCTTCTGTAAATCCAGCATGCTAACATACCATGATTAACATGAAGGTTTAATGAGGTAACAATATGTACTCTGTTTGTAAGCTTTACACATTTTTTCTGTACATCGATTATTGATGCTGGCGCCATTGATAGGCTAATGTGCATGCGGTACTTCCATCATCTTCCATCCTGTCATTCCTCCTCGGATAACCTGTGGATGATAAAATCCAAACTCCTTGCCATAATTCTCAACTTTTCCATGAACCAAGCCCTAGACCTCAGGTCTCCTACCCCATTTCCCTTCTCTGACACTCCTACAGCCATGTTGGCTTTGACGTAACTTTGTAATGATGACAGCATTTACGCATTTGTCTGTTCCTTGTCCTTGTCACTGCCTAGAACTTGCATACACTCCTCATATCCACATCCTAAACTCTTCCTTCAGGCTTCTCTGCAAATAACCCCTAGTCAGATCCCTTACTATTCACGTTTCAATCAGAACCCTGAAAATATGTAGGTAGTTGTGAAAGAAAATTTTAAATAGAGGAAACGATTGTATGAAAGACTGTTGGAAAGTATCAAGGGACATAGGTCAAGTGGAATTCTCAAGTGACTTTCCAGAGTATGGAAAGACTAGAAATTTATGAAAGCTGCAGCAGTGGCCTCAGCTGCCAGCACAGTCACCAAATGTGGCTGCACAGGAGGCAGCCCAGTGGCTCCTGCAACTTCTACCTTCCTGTCTTGCCAGCATCCTGCCTCGACTTCCACATGTGCATAAGAGGCTTTTCATTTTTCTCTTCTTTCCAGATTTTTTTGTGACTATCCTTACCAGTGGGAGTGAAAACATCAGTGTTATCCAGCATGCATTGTGCTTATTTTTATTTGCTCTACTATAATAAAAGCTCCATGAGAGTAGGGCTTTGTCTCTTTTCCTCTTGTTATCATCTAAGATAACAGTTGCTATAATGCATTTGGCATTTTCAAAAATCTATTGAATAGAGTGAATGGAAAAATACCAAAGCTGGTATTTCCATCATGGTCAATGGTTCACCCTTTGTGTTTGAATTCTGAGAATTCAAGTCAGCAGGACACTGTCTTCCTTGTGAGCTTGTAGGTCCCCTTGTCACCCTGAAGCCACCTCCTGATCTCAGGTTTTTATACATTCCTTCCCAGGGTAGGTAGGCTAGCACAATCCTCACAAGTCCTTATCCAGAAACAAAATCCTGAGTTTCTAGTCTGGCTTAAATTTCTGATTACTCAAAAGAACTAAGAGAAGTTTTGCCTCTCTGATCCTCCTGTCTGTTTTCTGGGTCATGAAGGTCATGGATGGTGATTTTCTTTGCTCAGAGCATTTCTCAAGGGTCGGTGTCGACCACACATGTTACCATTCATTCATTCCCATTCCATTCTTTCAATGCTTAATGAGTGGACTGTAGGTGGAGAGCCAAGGGTCACAGAAATGTAGAGAACACCACCCTGAGCCTGAGACAGGCACCACTGCAGAGGCCAACTCTTGAGTGCGCACAGATAGCTAGTGACATAGTACAGCAGAAGTGAGCCCAGGGTCCTGCACAGAAGATAGGGACATTACTAAGGAAGTGACACTTTGCACATGAGCAGTCTTCTACTGAGCCCAGGTATGTGAAGCGGAGAATCAGGAAGAGGTTCATGCTGCTCTAACCTGTTGTACAGCTACACATTTAGCTTGGATAAATAGCACAGTCCTCGAAGGTCATGATGACTGTGTTCTGTGTTTGAAAACATGTCTCTGGGGAAGGGTTGTATGTATGTGTTCCTGTGTGTGTGTACTGTATAACACAGTGAAAATAACTTCTGACTTTAGAGTCTGCTTGAATTAAATTTCTAGCTTTCACACCTAGTAGTGTTTGATTTGTGCTGTTAACTTAATTTTTCTTGTTTTCTCATCTATATATTTGAGCAGATAATAATGTCATGGTCTGTATCTAGATGCCCTCTCAAAGCCTCATGCGCTCATAGATGGGCCTTTGGAGGAAGCTGGATTATGGCTGTGTGATTCTGGATTATGGGTGAGATACCCGCATTTGTCCATTGATTGGTCTAGTGTAGTTGAAGGTGTGGCTGAATGGATTTACTGAAGACAGAACCCCCACCCTGGGTGTGGGTGGCACCACCCACTAGGCTTGAAACCTGGCTGGGGTACCAGGGAGAGAAGGAAGTCCGATGCTTCTTGACTCTGGCCTGCTTGCCATGGACTGTTTCTTAACAATCAAGTGTGCCTCCTCCCTGTTACAGATGAATGGGGCCCCGGTGGCTGACATGAAGGTCATAGGCAGAGTGATCTTCACCTAAGCCTTTGTTTTCCTTTCTTGATATCTGACATCTTCCTATTCTTCCAATGACTGACAATAACTTCTTTCTTTTTTTAAATTTAATTCTTTTTAATGCATATTTTATTAGTATGTTTATGATGCATAATTACATTCATCTTGGAGAATTGGTGTGTGTGTATATATATATATATATATATATATATATATATATGGCATCCTAATCATTTTTAATTCCCTTTTCCTTTTCCACCTTCCCATCTCCCTCCCTCCCCTGATCCCCTTCCCATCTCCACAAAAATCTACCTTCTTGTTTCTTATCATCTATATATTTTATATTTTGTTTAAATTATTTATATTTAGGTTTCTCATTTAAGAGAAATGATATTTAACCTTCTATATCTGATTTATCTCACTTAACACTATGGTCTCAAGATGCGTCCATTTATAAATAAATTTATTCTTCTTTCTTATCGAACCCTCCTGACCCTTCTGCCTACTGCACTCCCCTGCCCCAAAGCTGTGAATCCTTTCCTCTCTTGCATGAATCATGTGAGAATCATTTTCCTGAGCATCAAGCTACAATCATTTTCTAAGGGTGGGGCTCAGGCTGCACAGGCTTGGGGATCAGATGGAACTGTGATGAGGAACAAGGAACCTCGGGGAAGGTATGTCTACCAGCTTCACCTCTTCAAACTTCTCTGTCTTACACAGCCCATAAGACATGAAGGACTCAGCACCTGGGGGTAGGAAATGGATGAGGAAAGTCAGTATGCCCAACTGGAGGACACCCATATCGTATTTCTGCAGACGAGCGGTGTAGTACAATCGAATCCCTGAGGAGTCATACACACCTGGAATGGGAAAACAAACAAACAAACAAAAACAGACAAAGCAAAATAAAACAACAGAAAAACCAAACAATGTCTTCAGAGGGCAGGAAAGCAGGTTACAATGTAGAGAGAAGAGGCTCAGGAAGTCTGGGTAGGGAGGGTTGTGATTAACAAGATTTGCATGAATTCTATGACATGGCCCCAACAGCTAGGAACCAGCTGCCTTGACTGAGTGCCCTCCTGTGAGTCCGCTGTGTGCTCACCAGGTAGGTTGTGGAAATTACTGTAGTGAACCTCCAGGCGGATCCATTAAGGGTCCAAGGGGGTCCCTATAGAGATGCCCACTTCATCTGGAAACTGGTAACTCTGATGGGAAGAGAGAGATTTGGCAGACAGAAGGGCTGGGAGCTGGGTGTGGAGATCCAGGCCTCTTGCACTGGTTTTCTACCCTTCACCCCAGACCTTCCTTATCTTTCAGTTTTCCATCAGTGCAGCAATCCCACTGCCCAGCAGTGGTTACCCCCTAGCCACACACTGTCCCCCATTGTGGAACTCACAAGGCCCCCGACAGCCCAGCCCACGATAATCTGTGAACAGAGGGAGAAGGCAGGGTCGAATCCGTAGCATTCTCTGATGCCCTTGGGGAGGGTGCTGGCATTGCCGCAGGCATACACCAGGATGTGGTGCACCATGGTCTCGTTGTGGTCTATCAACTTGGGCTCAAACTGGACAGGATAAAGAGGACAGGGTGGAGTCTAGGTTTTCTATGTCAATTCCTCATTCTCCCATCCCTTTCCCAAATAAAACCATGTCATTTCCCACTTCTCTTCATTTCTGTCTCTTCTATTTCCTGTCTGTTTCTTTTCCACAAGCTACCATTTTGCCTGGCTCTGTTTGACTCTTATTTTAACTCCCACTCCTTAAAACCTCTTACCTGAAACAATTTACACAGTGCTAAATCTACCCTGGGACATTCCAAGCAGTCTGACATAGGAACTTCGATTATTTCATGACCTTTGTGTATGTGTCACACACACATGGATTCTCTTTCTTAAAAAATAAATTGGCTGTTAAACATTTGGGGCTTATTATAAGATGATATTTTTATGTAGTTGGGCAAAATTGAAATTACCCAGCTATGAAATGAAATGGCCAAGTTGGAGTTCTCTGTAGCCAGAGCTTGCCCCTTCTTGGCAGCTTGCAGCCACGTCCCCTCCATGCCTTTATCTCCTTGTGGGCTAAGAGAGCACAATGCTGTGGCGAGAGTGAGGCTCAGACTTTGTTCTTTGCAAGCACTTATTTTTTTTAAATTTTATTCTATTGGTACATTTTAGGTGTACAATATAATGACATTCATCATTGGAAATTTGCACCTTTACATGATCTCTCTTGGTTCTTATTTTTCCCCCTTCCCCTGCCCTCCCTATTTACAAAGACTTTGTTTCCATTTTTTCATTTTCTCATATTAATTCCATTCCCTTCTTTCCTTTCCCCTTCCCCTTTGCCCCTTTTCTTCCTATTTCACATGTGGTTTTTTTTATGAAATGGAGTACTACTCAGCCATAAAAAGACGAGAAATTAGAAACATTTATAGCTAAGTGGATGCACATTGAGGCCATACTCTTAAGTGAAATAAATAGGACACACATGTGTAAATACTGAATAGTTTCTCTGGTGTGAGAAACTGAAAGTGTAAATAAGGACTAAAAGGTATAATATAACCTCTGTCCAAAAACTTCCTGCTGCATAGTGAAGCTTGCATAAAATACCACCAGTAGTTATAGTTCTAGGCTGTAGAAATTGTATAACTCCCACCCCTACCAAACTCCCACCTGACTCCTCACTCCACAGCTACTTCCCCAGCTACCTTCCAGAAGTTTTCTGAGCACCATCCTTTAGAGCCCAACACGCCCTCTCTTCTGCTCCAGAGCTCCCCACCTTGTCAGCCCCTCTGCTTCATGTACTTTGAAGATTTGATGCTTCTCGCTGACGATGGGGAGAGGCAGAAAGGTGCAGGCGTAGGTGGTATCGACCTCTGGAATGAGGAACTGGGGGAAGGTGTAGAGAAGCTTAGTGGGATGGACTTGGGGTCCCCTGCTTTTGAGGGTTCATTTTAGGGCTAGATTAGGAGTGAGGGGAGTCACAGTAACTGGGTGCAACAGGAGGGGGTCTGCTGGAGGCCGGTGGGTGACTGGGAAGGTCTTACATCAGTGATCTCCAAGTCATGGACCATGGTGTCCTGGGGGAAATCCAGATCCTCAGGGTGGAATATTTGTAGCAGGAAGGTGGACTTGACAAAAGTGTGCTCCCGCCTCAGCTCTAGCATGTCCTCCAGACCATAGGCAGTCAGGACTCGAATCATGTCACTCTGGGGGTGCCATGGGCAGTGAGGGATGCCACCCATGAGTGGCGCTTTGCACACACCTGCATCCAAGGCCCTACACCAGCCACTCATGTCTACACAGTGGAAAGGGAAGATCTTTAGACTGGAGGCAGAACTAGTCTGGTTCTAGCCCTGCATCCAAAGCTAACGTGCTGGTAATCCCAGCAAATCCCACACTTTCTCACACACACTCTCTCTCTGCCTGTGTCCTTACTGTAAAATGAGAGAGTTGAGCCACACATTGAAATCCCAACACCTTCAACGCAATGCAATTAGGCAGGGTTTTTCAGGAAAAGCAGGCTGGAGTGAGCACTGAATCCTTAGGGGTCGCCCTGTGGAAGGTTTGTAGATTTCAAGAGGTGTCACAATTTAAGGGCAGTACTTGAGAGGGCTGAGAGAGATGAAAGTCCCAGGAGCTGTGACTGGCTGGGTAACTGGAGGTAACTCCACTTCCCAGAAGGAAAAGTTGCTGGGACTAAATGCTTTTCTCCCCTCCCTATTTTACCTTAGCATCCTGGTCATGAGGATCGCAGGAGCGGAAAGGCCTAGAAAAGCGCATGGTAGTATAGGCAGCATTTTCTGTTAGCCCCAGCAGCTCACCATCCTGGCTCCCATCCTCCTCTAGAGTGTCTTCATCCACAAGGTGCCGATCCTGGGGCCCAGTGGAGGTCCAGTAAGAACAAGGAGCACAAGAGATCATGCGTGAGGACAGAAACTGTCTCTTTAGGATAGTAAAGTGGCAAGACTGAGATTTGCTTTATTATGTAATTTCCTCCTAGGGCACAACATGGGAAAATGGACCATGTTCGATGGAATTCCACTTCTTGGCCTGGCATTTCAAATCTTATCTCTATCAATCCTAATGTCCCTGCATCCCCAGCCCTTGGGAGCTCACTTAATTTCTGAATAGTCTTGCCATTCATTCTTTCCAGTGTGGCTCTTAACATAATATGACCTTATACTTTTGACTGACATTTCCCTATTTAAGTGCAGTTCAGAATAGTGATTAGGAACTGAGAATGGGTAAGATAGAGAGATGGTTGAATTATTTCTTCACCTTCAAAATGCAAGTAATAATAATCTACCTCAGGTTGATCCTATGAGGTCTAGAATACAAAAAATCGGGGACAATGCCAAGTTTTTGAAAAGTTTATAACAATTTTAAGCTATTGATACTGCTGCTCCTGTGGCTACTGCTGTTTTTGGATGATATCAGGTTGTAGTTCACCTGATTGACTTTAAAGAAAACTGAGGACTGTGTCTCCAACAGCTTTGAATTTTCTCCAGTGAGCTGCATTTAGTGTGCTGTTAGCAAGTCAATGGGACAGTCTAAAGGTCTCATTCTCTTAGCAGATTGGAGACATGTGGTCTGGAAGAGAGGTCACAAACCATTGTTGGACCATTTCTGTAAGGAGAGATCAGCACTCAGCTGGAGTTCCTGGCGTGTGCTTGGGTGTGTTTGGAGAACACGGATCCTCTATGGACATGAAGAAATACTCTACCCAACAAAGGACCTCATCCTTGGAAGGGATTCATCCTCAGACTTACTGAGAAATAGACATTGCCATCAGGCAGGACTCCTCCAACGACCAGGTCACCTCCCACGATGGTGTAGCGGTTTGCTATGCCCACACCTACCCAGCCAGCAGTTCGAACCTGGAGCTCAAAAACGATGGCCTCAGCCTTAAGATCAAAGTCCCAGGGCAGGAAAATGGCATTGGAAGGATCTATGAATCTGGAGTAAAGCAGGTGAGATGTGGGGCCAAGGTGTTTGCCTTGGGAAGTGGCTGTGAGGGCCAGAAGCAGGAAGAACTTTAAGAGATGGATACAGGCCATGGCTCCTGGGTCCCAGAGCATCTTTCCTGCAGATGGACACTCAAGAGCTCTGGGCTTATATGTGTCTCTGCTTGTTCCAGGTCCCAGGTCATGGGGGAGGGATAAGAAGCTAGGGCTCTTCTGGTCTGATTATCCTCTGGATTTAGAATGGTGCCACTTATATAAATGGAGTTGTACAGGGGACAGAGGGGACAGAGCAGGTTTCTTTCACTTGAGATCAGGGTCATTGCAGGAAATGATCAGGAGCACATCATTCTGACTTCCCATTCCAACTCCAGGCCAGTGTCCTGCCCCTGGAGACTCCAAAGAGTCCAAGGGTTTTTCAGTTTCTCCCTGCCTCTCTTTCCTTCCCTCTGCATCCCCATCCCATCCCCTGCACTCTGAAATATCCCTACTGAGTATTCTGCCTCTGGCATATGCCCTTCACCCATTTATATGTGTGTTTCCCATTTTGTCTGTGTGTAGAATGGAGGTACAAGCAGAGGAGGCAGAACCGCATATAAACCCAGCCTTTCAACCTCCAAGTGTAGAAAGGAAAGCAGTTGTTGGGAGGGATTGGGGGAAGCTGATTTCCATCTCCACAGGAATCTTTGCTACTAATTCCAGAAAGGACACCTAGAGGTGAAACAGCTATAATCAGCTTTCCAGATGGGCAAGTCTTGAGTAGCTTTGGTTTTTCAGAACATTCCTGGGAGGAACAAGAAGAGGAAGAAGTGAGAGGAAAAAGAGGGAGAAAAGAAGGAACAGATCTGAATTTGCATTTTGGATAGTTTGTGCTTGACATTTCCTTCCATGAGTTGCTTTCAGAGAATTCATATTTTAGTGACATTCCCCTGGAGGCTTCATCTGATTTCACTTGCAAGCACATCATTCTTACATAAAATAGTAAAAGCACAAAAGGGATATTAGAATAACAGAATAGAAACACTAGGTCCACTTTATTTTCTAAAAACTCCTGTTTTATTTTCAGATAAGAAAATGGGAGCCCCAGGGAGTCACATGAGGAATGTGTGATCACCCTCTGTGTCAGTGGCAGAGATGACAGGAGAGCTCAGTGGTCCTGCCTGTGATCACTCTTTCCATGATTTCTGGAAGTCACCAACACCTGCAGGGCCACAGACCCCTGCATGCTTTTCTACCCTGCCATGGCCTGGTGGAGGGCCTGGTGCCATTTAGTGACTTCTTAGGGAAGAACTGGCCTAGCTCTAATTTCACACTGACCTCCTTCTGGTAGCTGAAACAGCTCATCAGGGCTGTCAACTACCTCCTGTGGCCCCAGTTGCCAGTCCTCCTTACACAATGGAGAAGACATGTGCCCTGAGGGCTTCCCCAGCAGAGCAAGGACATCTACCACCTGAATCCAGCTCCAGGTGAGTGGAGAGATGCCAGTGAGCTGCTTAATCCGTGCACTCAGCACCTGCCTAGTCTGAATTACCCACCCAGATCCAAAGCTGGTGAGGCTGTTTGCTGCTGCGGTGAGAACTTGAGCAGTAATTGGAAGAATGAGAAGGGGAACAATGTTCAAAGGGGCAGCCACAACCTCCAACTTTGGCACTGGCAGAGAAAGTGAAAGCTCGGCAGCCATCTGGAAGCAAGAAGCTTACCAGGGTCCAGGATGGGGAGCCGGCCAAGACTGGACAATGCAGAACCAAGGAGGCACGGTGACCTTCAGGAGCAGGAGTGAGTGCCCGAGAGGGAGATAACAGGAGTGTCGGAGACACTCTGATCCCAATCTCACTTGAGGATTAGGCTCAAGAGGAAGCACAGAGGAGCCAGGATAGGCAGCACTGTAAATGGAGAAGGGCCCAGGATCCCTCATCCTGCAAGCTGTCTGGTTGGCCAGAGCCCTGTCCTCAGGGAAGAAGCAGGGAAGTCCCTGAAGAGCGGGAGCCTGGGACTGCAGACCCCGGGAAGCTCTGCACCTGAGCTCTCCTCCAGCTTCCAACCTGGATGCAAGCTGTTGCTCTGCCCTTCTCTGAGGATTCCTAAGGGAGATGGGTCTGAGTTCTGGCCCAGTCCAGTTCCCCTTTGCATTTATCCAGTGTCTATCAAGGGGCAGACACCAATGTGAACACAGAGCAGTCCCAGGTCTTAAAATAGTAAAATTCTGTTGCTTAACCAATCTGTCTCTCCATGTTGTTGTCTGCAAAATGCTGAGGTTGGAGAGATGATAGGTACAGGAATTTTTAATTCCAACTTCCCAGATTACTAGTTCCCAAACTAAAAAAAATAAGCCTCTTACCAATGCTAAAAAGTCATGGAAACCTGTCTTTTTCATCTCAGTTGAATGCTACGTGATAGGTAATTGAAGACAAATGTTACTGCTAATTTTGTCATGTTTAATTGATCTGTAAATTTGCCATTGCAATAATAAAAGCAAATTTTTATTGAGTGCTTAGCCTGTGCCAAGATCCATTCTATGAACTTTTTCATGATTTGAGTCATTCATCTTTATGAAATAGTTTTCAATATTGTCTTCATTTCACAGAAGAAGCAGCTGAGGGAAAATGTCACCCTATGAGGTTGACAGTACTAGGAGTTGTTGGAAAGTATAATTAAAGCTGATACAGTTGAAAATGATTTACTGTAAGTCAACAAAATATAATCAACATATTTAATAAATCAGTGAATATGTTTTATAGTTAAATATTATTTAAAATAATATAAAAATCTCCACAGAAGTAAAAGAAAAAGAAAATAGCTTTAATACTGAATAAAGTAGAATGTAATATCCATCAGTCTGGATCACTCATGAGAGATTGAAAAGACAAACTCTCATGACTCTCATCCTATCATGAAGCCAAGCCGATATCGCTCATCACATGCATATTCTCAAGATGAAGTAATCAGTCCCCAGGAAGAGGAGTGAACAGCACCATTTGTCCCGCATAGTTCATTCTAGATGCATGTGGCAATTGGGTGACAGGGGCTTGCTAGTGGGCTTTATCCAAAGAAAATAAAAGCATATCTTTGTAACAAAGGGTAATTTTGCAACTTGGTGCAAGGTATTGAGTGGGGTCTCTAAATTGGGCTCTTCCGTAAGTGAAGGTAGACTCCTAAGTGAGGTTCCCTTAGAAATGGAGACAGGGGTGCTATCTTTCCTGAGGATTACATTTCCAAGAAAAGGTTCCAGGTACTTGAGAAAAATGCATTGCTGAATTTTAAAGCTAGCAAGTGACTGATTATTTCGCTTTTTAAAAGATTCACATATATTTCCAGAGACAGAAAAAACCTACTATTCCCAGTTTGCTAAATTAAGTAAGAAAATGGAGGCTAAAGGAGGGAGGAGTCTTTTCCCTTATTGTGTACAGGAAAATGGAAGCCTGTTTTCAATGTCGATTCACCTTCACAGAGTCAGACACTGACAACTGGAAGTAAATGTCCAGTGTGTACTGTCCAGTGTGGCCCTGCATTATCTTCCACTAGCAGTGTATTTGTTCAATGTTGTAAGCATCACTTGGTAGCATTAAGATATTTTTACCCCTTGCAAAGATCCGAGGCTCAGATTCAGACCAGTTCCAGGAATATCTGGGTCATAGTTGAAAGGGTGCAGGGTCAAGCCAGTTCACTGAGACACTTTGTGAATGTGTAGGGGGGTGCGGCTGGGAACGGGCCTGCTCCCTGGAGCTCAGACAGCAGGAAAGCAGGCAAACCTGTGGTTTGAGGTTTGTGTTTCAGGGAGAAGATGAGACAAGATATTCAGTTTCCTGAGGAATCTACGCCCTTTTGAGCGTGGGACCCATAGAGCTGTCAGCCTCTAACTGGCACCTTTCAGGTCGGGATCCTGCTCTCCAGCCCGTCCAGCCTGTCCCACACCCTGTGAGAGAGAACTTGAGGGGCCAGGGAATGGGGCCCTTTCCCATTCTGTATGGTTGGATGGTACTGGCTGCCCTGAGTGGAGGTCAGTGGCAGGGAGAGGAAGCCAAGCAGTGGGGTGAGGGAAGGACTGGGGATGGGTCACTGGTGAACCATAGGCAGAGAAGGTGCCCGTCTAATCCCAGCCTTGCCACAATTACCCCAGGCACAGTAGCTCACCAAGGTCAAGTGTCCCTTCTGCTCTCAGCAGCCTTCTATTCTGGTACCTCAAAGATCCTCTCTTCTGGACTTAGCTCAGTTAGTTACTCCAGAGGGCAACCATGCTGTCTACCAGCACCTCGGCTGGCCTATGTGTTTCAGATGCCACAGCCAGCCTGGTGGACCAAAGGCCCAGGTGGGCCCTGGTGCAGGCTGGACAGGAAGAGACTCTCCGTTGCATCCTAAGGAATTCTCAGTACCCCTGGATGAGCTGGTACCAATAAGATCTCCAGCGGCAACTGCAGTTTCTGGTCACCCTGCGGACTCCTGGGGACTAGAAGACCATCTCCCTTCCTGGGGCAGATTACCTGGCCACTCGGGTCAGTGACACAGAGCTGAGGCTTCGGGTGGCCAATGTGACCTAGGGCAGAACCCTCTTCTGCACCTGCAGTAAAGACACAATGTGGGACTGCATAACCTTTGTTCCTTTTCTCCAACCCCATTGTGATTAAATGTGAGTTAATGGATAAAGATGCTTGTTAGTTTAGGGACGCTAGATAAAAATCTGTAATGGACCTAAAGTCCCAGAGTAAACTACTCAACTCCTTGATTGCCTGGAACTGATATTCCAGGCACCACAATTGTTAGAACAAGCTACAGATGTCTGCTGACCATCAATATGTGACAGTCGACCACTAACCTTTGTCCCCTTTTCTTTAATTCTATATGTTAACTTCCCCCTCAGCCCCCTATAAAAACAGCCTCGGGCTCTGAGCTAGTTGCCTCTCTAAGCTATTTTGCTTTGGGAGTGCCATCTGGCCAGACTAATAAAGGTCTGTTTTCCAACTTGTCCGGCGTGTTCCTTCCCGGGTGTTCTTAGCTGTAGTCAGCTCCTTGGAGTGTTTGGTAAGGCTCTTGGTCTTACATTCTGAAGGTACCGCTGGGATTCCTGGGTGTGCTTCACTAGTCAGCTCCTCCGAGCATTTGGTAAGGCCCTCGGTCTTACACAGTGAGAAACCCTGCTAGGGTATTTGAATAAACACCACAGACACAGACTTTCCTGGTTCCCACCCATCCTCCTCTGCCCCAGCAGCCCTCCCAAGCCTGCTTCTTCCCCAGACTCTCCCTCCTTACCCTGACCTCAAGCAGCCCCTCTCTCTGCCAATTTCCCATTTTCTTTTTTCTCCCTGAACAGCACAGCAATTTAACCCAGCTTCTGGAGGACGAGAGTGCACACCTTGGTTCTGCTATGCGTGAGCTTTGGAGAAGTCTCTTTCCTCCCAAACCTGTCAAGATGTCTGCAACATGCAGACAGCAACTCCACCTTGCTCAGAAGTCTGCTTCAAGGATTGAGCAGTGCAATTTAGGTGAAGCTTTTATCTTGATGCAGAGTGCAGAGGGACACAGAAAATTATCACTTGCCCTCTCTACAGTTTTCATATGTAAAAATCATGGTGCAATTTAGTCCCAATCTCAATCCCCACAGGTAGGCTGAGAAGAAACCCGGAGAAATGCTGGGAGCTCAGGAAAGGGCAAGGCTAAGTTGGTGAATGTGTAACTGATCCCCATCCGCCCCTATTTGTAAACACCTATTTTTTTCATCACTATTCTCATCACCACACCCATGTCCACTTCTCACTCCCCAATTTCAATGCAGTCTTTACAAAGCCAAGATCCTCAGAAAGCAGCAGTGTCTGGAATCTGTAGTGGAGGGCTCAGCAAATACTCAACTAAAAAGCCCAAGGGCCAGAACTGGATCTGCAGCCTGAGTACCATCATTAACTGGCAGAAAAAGAAGGCTTTGACCCCAGGCAAATAGCTGGAAACCAAGTGGTAAGTTCTGAATGATAGCAAGACCAAGGGGGAAGGAAAGGAGGGAGGGAAGGAGGGAGAGGAGGAGAGATGGAGGGAGAAAAGGAAGAGAAAGAGAGCTGACCATACCACAGCTGACCCACTGCTTCTACCTCAGAGCCTTTTCTTCCACTGATAGGCAGACTACTGGGATGCAAGGGGAGGAGGTGGCTGCAATGGGCCATGAAAGGCATCTCCTCTATCTCTCAGGTGGTGGTGTGAGATGTAGGCAGAGATCCTGGTAGAGAGGTTTCCTCATCCCTTATGGTAAGTGAGGATTCCTTCCAGCAGGGGACACCATTACCCCAAATTCTCCACAGCTTACCCTGTTAGTTGGAAGATCTAGCTACTCAACAAGGCTCCTGTTCTACTTTTCCCTCCCTTTCCTAGGCCTCTGACCTGTCATCCCGCCTCACCTTTCCCTTCCTAAAGGATGATCTCCAGAACTGACAATCACCTGGCTGTGACACTGGTTGGGCTCAGCCTGGGCGTGGGCAGGCTAACTTGGGTGTCACTGCCCTTGTCCATGGTTCCATGTCCTAGATCTTTCCTCAAACACTGTGAGCTGTGGAAAAAGACAGTCTTCCACATGACCCTCAGTCTTTCTTTTTGGAATACTCTTTGTACTGTCCAAGCACAAGGATTCCTTCCCCAGAGTGAGGTGAGTCTAGGCCACAAAGCAGAGGGATCAGAAACTCAGACCTTGAAAAAGGGCCTCCTGCCACATCTAACAGAACAAGGTCACCCAAGATATGTGGTGTTGGCTGCACGTTGCGATCTCTCCAGCTGCTCTTTGACCTAATGCCCATTTTCTGTACTTCCCTAACCCTGTCTGCCTTGCAATCCCACTCCCCCCCCTTTCTCTCACACACATGTTTACACACATGGACACACACTTCTACAGCAGGAAATGCAAATTAAAATGGACTACAAAAACCATTCTCAATGTCTACATGTTTTCTTTAACCTTCTACCCACCATGACTTCAGACCCACTCACTCATAACCTGCCCTCAAGAGCAGAATGAAAATTTAGGGTACACAGAGAGACCAGTTGAGGATTTGATAAAAGCATGGAAATATTTATTAGTCAGCTGTTATGGCTTGTGTCTGGATGTCTCAGAGCCTCACATGCTCATAGGTGGAGCTTTTCGGGTGTGGCTGGATCTAGGGCCTGTGACTATAGATTAAGGGTGTGATAACAAAATTAGGTCACTGATTGGTTTAACATAATTGTGGGTGTGTGTAACCGTTGTAGCCTGGATAGGGTTAAAGGGGAAGGGAGGCTTACTGCCTCACTGCTTTCTGCCTGCTCTGGCACAGACTGTTTTTTCTCTGTGATGCCCCTCTGCCATGCCACCTTGCCCTGCAGCTAGCCAACTATGAACTGAAAGCTCTACCAACTGTGAGCTAAAATAAAGCTTTCTTCTTTTAACTTGTGGGTGTTGAGTATTTTTTCCCCATAATGAGAAAGTAACTAAGACAGTAGTAATTTTAATAGGTGCAAAGTGACATCTCATAATGGCTTTGACTTGAATTTCTTTGATTATTAATGATGTTGAGTAGCTGGTTTATATGTGGCTATGTTTGATATATCAGTACCACTAACACATGTACTACTGTAAAGGAAAACTCCTTTGGAGGATGCCCTGATGAAAAGAGAGTGGAATTCTTTTCAAGAGACAGAAGTTCAATCAACTTATCTGGTTGTTCTCTTTCTTGGAGTTAAGATTTATACAAATTTCTTGAGAGTGCCTAGTGCTCTGTTCTGATAGGTGTTAAGAAGGAGCAATATGGGAGAAATGGGGATGAACTCTTTGGGAATAGTTACGTAATGAAGTAAACATTTTTAGGATTAACTCAGGAGAATAATTGTGTCCTATAAGAATTATCACTAAAATAGCTTACTTCAGGAGATTTTGATAATCAAGTGGACAAGCTAGGCTTCTCTGAATTCCTTCCTCATGCTTCTAAATGCTTTTTTAGGGGATTCAGATACAAGGTGGAAAATGGAGCCAAATGGAGCATGGTGGTGGCTGAACAGCATGATCCTATGCAAGCCCAACCTGTTTACCACCACCCTTACAGACCTGCTGTCAACAACCAACCTGAGTCCACTGTACCTTTAGTGCCCTACTTGCCAGGTGATAGTGATAGGTCTCTTTCATCACAGAAGAGTAACTTCTTGTCCTCCCTGAAAATGATGTATTCTGGATTTGGATTTTCTTTTCCTTGCCATTGTCACTGACCTAGTACCGTCAAGCTCAGATTACCTGAATGTCTATGCATTCCAGGAAACAGGAATGTATTCTCCAACCAAGGAAATCACCTCCCAGTGCTTATGGTGGGACCCATGGATGCAATCCATGTCTGTGGGATTCAGGGACCTCCCTATATATTTTGCTGGTCAGAATTAGCTCGCCTTACACAGCATTACTATGATTGTTGAAATCTTTGCACCAGCTAAAGCTGAGAAACATCTTCAGAGGCTGAAGTACTATTCTGAAAAATGAGTTAAAAACCATTCATTTCTTCCAAAAAAACTAAAAAATAAGTTAACACAATTTGTGGAGATGATGCTTTCATAATTCCACTTAATATTTCATATATAAAATCTTGCTTCTGTGTACTCCAATCTAGACTTAGCTGGCTTAGAGATTTTACAACTCTCGAGAAGACAAGATTTACTGCTGGAACTTGGGATTTCTGAGAGAAATTTTCTTTTTCTTCCAGCTGGACCACAGACTGTCTAAATCTAGTTTTTCTTCTTTTTAAATCTTCAGTCAACTAGCCAAACGAACTCTATGTAAAACTATCAGTAAAAAGTCTTTGGTGGTAAGTGAAGATGCAAGGGTGAGGTAAAAAGGGAATGAAGGAAAGAAGGAGAAGGAAGGAAGTTCTCTAGGAAGTTGGCATAATATAAAAAGGAAACATGTGTAAGGAAAATTGGTCCTGAACTTCTTCATTGTCCTCTATGTCATAAGCTTCCAGTTAACTTTTATATTAGCCTCTCATGTATCAAGTAGACACTCAGAATTCTACAAAATGCATCGCTAGAATCTCTCTGTGATTGGAGTTGAGAATTGTGTGGACAAGGAGACACTAAATGCAATACCTTACAGAGTCCCCATCCTGAAACACTTTCCCCCCATCCTTCTACTTAGTCCACTCCTTGTCAGACTTCCTATTCCTAATGGATGTGTTTAACACCTCAAAAGCACATGTCCTCTAATTCACTGCAAATTGTGGGGGATTTAGTACTCCAAATGACTGTGGGGTTTTCCCTTTTTTAATGAATCAGTTATCAATTTGTTAGAGAGAACACAATACCTACTTCATAAACTCCAACCATCTAGGAGTTTTGATTTTTCTGCCTTCATTTAGAGAGGAGGAAGGGCTGTTGTGTCTGAGACATTAATCACTCACTGACTCTGTCCATCAGAATGAGCAGATGCACAAGGCACAAGGAGTGCCTTAGTTTATTGTGAGGCTGGACATGGGTACGGGCTGTCACATGGCCCAGAATTCTGGCCACATGAACTCAATTGTTCTGAATTGTATTTTTAATCCAGGGAATGTAGTGAAAGATACTAGTATAGATGCCAACATCAGCTCTCAAAATGCACCCATCTGCATAAGACAGGATTCCATAAAGTACCCCATGGCAGACTGCAGGGACAGAGGAGACTTCCTACCAGGAAAAAGAAAACAGGGTTATTATTCTGGGAAGATACAAGAAAGAAAATGGGAAAATTAAGGCATTGTGAGTATGTCACCTTGCAAGGTAGCCTCCTTCCTGGCACGATGCCCACACAGATCATATTATTATTGATGTTGTAGCCTGGATAGCCATTCTGACACTCAGTCTGGGAGATTACAGAGACTTGTACAGTCTGCATCATGTCAGGGTCCTTGGCTATAGGAAAAAAGAAAAACAGAACTTCCTTAAAGGTTCACTTGCATGCCACACCTATTGTTTTTCTTTCTCTCTTTTCTAACACATTTGTGCTTCTCTCTATCATCAGAAAGGAAAACATTGTGAGAAATAGAACTGTAGCAGTTAGGACAACTTGCACACAGGAGATTATCATATTAACAATTTCTTGTTAAGAATGTGATTATATTCTTGGAAGTTATATGTAAACATGAGACATTCCTGCAAACAAATGCAACAAACTGCTTTAATATATTTGGAAATTTAAACAACTACAGTGTATCCTTTCAGAAGCAAGTTTCAGAACACAAAGGAATTTGGAGGTATCTAGCCTAGTTTTTCATTTGTTAGATGAAAAACCAAACTAAACTACAACAAAACAGAAAATGTGTCTGCTCAAAATATTCACACATTCTCTTTAGCTTAAACAACAGTAAGTAGTAAAACTAGGATTTAAAACTGAGAACCTTGGTTCCTAATTTAAATTGCTTCCTTTGCGGCCCCCAATTTCTGTCAACTATGTATAGAGGTGGAAATTTTTTTCTAATCTGAAACAAAACGAGAACAAGACCAAAGTAGTTATACACATGGCAGGTGTTCTTTGCAAGTGTAGTACTTTTGAAAAATTACTTTGAAATTTTTATTTTTCTTGATGAGTGTGTGTTTGCTTCAGTATCTTTGTTTGAAAATAACATTGATTCTTGATTGGAAACATTAAAATACTTTATTTTCTAGTACAGCAATAATTTCATGGCTCAACGTTTCCTTTGGGAATACTCCTTTAGGACATGCTTACTTAATTACCCCTTGAACTAGATCAAAATAAATCATGTTTTTTGTAGTCACATCTCTTTTTGACCTAAGTGAATCAAACACACTCACCAGAGTGATATTTGTCTATTTCCCAAAACCAAATAAATTCTCAAAGGACAAAGGAGAGTTTCTACTACTTTATCATTTTTTAAAAATTTCATTTTGATGTATAACAATAACTGGATATGTTTAGGGGGACAGAATGTGATGTTTCAACTCATGAATATATATTGTACAATTATCCAATTTGAGTGATTAGCATATTTATCATTTTAAACATTTATTGTTATTTAGTGGTGAGAATATTTAAAATCCTCTCTTCCAGCTCTTTTGAAATATACATTAACTGTAGTCACCCTATGGCCAATAGAACACTAGAACTTGTTCCTCCTATCTGTCTATAAAATGTACCTGTCAATCAGCTTCTCTCTGCTTCCCCCTCCCCTCCCCAGCTTCTTGATATATTTAAGAAAATGTTCATCGAGATTAGTAAATGCAGGCAACATTTGCTAAAGATCAATTTTAAAAAGGTTCAAATAATGGCAACATTGCTAACAATAATGATAAATGTATAGTTGCCTCTTGGCTTCTACGGAAAGAAAGAGATGGATGGAAAAATGAAATCTGACAGGCTTGTTTAAAATGACCTTTCCATAGAATGGTGCCAGGTGCACAAGGTATATTAAATATACTCAAATAAACATACTCATGAATAAGGTCAAATTAATTATTATTCGTAAGTGACTGCCATTGTGATATTTTTCTTATAGGTAATCAAATCTTTCTCTAAGACTCACTGCTATCTTAATTAATAGCTGCAGACAGTTCATTAGGATTTACATGAAAATTTTGGGATAGGATAGCAAGCAGACAGGAATAAAACTCAGAAAGCAGAAAGCTGTTCTAACTTGCTTAACGTTTTTTCCTGAAATCTGAAATGGGACTTATAGAAGAAAGTTTAGATAGAATATCTAGTTCTGTAGCTTCCAATCATGCATAGAGACTTCCACTGATAAAATATGGTAGCCTTTTGTCCCTTTTCTGAGGAAATGAGTAATGCTTAGAATGTTATCAGTTGAAAATATTTCTGCCTGAAATATTTTTCTTAAGCTTTAAATATTTTTCTCAAACTTTAAATTAAATTGTATTGCTTACAATCTTACATAAGAAAGTTCTGATTAGCACAATGTTATGTGTTTCTTTTTCATTTTTCCAATGAATGAAGTCCAGAGCTGCTCTTCCACTTAGGTACATCCTAGCCTTTTGTTTTTTTCACACAGAGGATCTTGAACTTGTGATTCTCAGGCCACAGCCTCCTTAAGCACTGGGATTACAAGTGTGTGCCACTATGCCCGCCTAGGTCTTATGTTCAATATATTAATATTTATTTCATGATATTCAATATTTAAAGTTGCTTTATTGCCTAAAATGGTCTGAAAACTAATGCAATGTTATGCTTTATTTTTAGAGTTAAGGAAATTGAATCTCTAAGGTAAACAAAATGCTATCACACAACAAAATAGAACTAGATGGATAAGTGGCTTCTTTCTACTAAAGCTACTGTTAGCATATATGGAAGCAAGGATAATAGAATGATAAAGTGGGGAAAAGTCTAGAAGGACTCTGTGAGAATGCTGCAGAGAAATTAAAAGAAGGTGAAAAGAATGAATACTGGGCTTTGAAGAAGCTCATTGGGCAGAATTGCAGAAATTAGGAGAGGGGAAGGCACAGATGAAAATCTAATGTGAGGAGAATGTTACTGAAGTCAACAGAAACTGCATATGTCTTGAACTCACCCGTATCACATGTGTTGTAGGCCCAGGTGGAGACAGCACACCTCTCATTTACTGGAACAGCTTGGCTGGGCAGGTTGACCACTTTCACATAGTCATTGAGTTCAGTCACTTTGTTCAGCTTGATTAACATGAGATCATATTCCATAGAAGAGATTAAATATTGCGAGTGATGAATCATCTTCTCGTAGCCAACCACTTGCACATTCTCTTCACTGGTGTTTGATGGGTTTGTAGCACCCAGCATCACCTGGGCCCTCCTGGAACAATGTAGATGTTTATGAGAGGAATTAAGACAGGTAACATCTCCATTCTTAGGGACCTCGATTAGCCCTGCCCACAGACATTTTTCTCTGCCACTAAATGACCCCAAAAGTCTGCCTACTATCATTTAACTAGGAGAGAGTCCTAGGCAGAGATTTGGGTGCAGGTCCAACTTGAGAAGCCAGAGAGTAGAGTGGCTGTGGGAGTTCTCACTTACGGTAAATTGCAGTGTGCAGCAGTGATCACCCAAAGGGGGTGAATCAGGACTCCTGTGCAGGGCAGGTAATCAGATTTCAAGTAGACCAGGTAGGGAGGTGTGACATCACCTACGAAGTCTGGATTAAAAGCAAGTGCAACTGGAAAAAGAGGCACAGATAAGAAATTCTGTGATATCTCAGTAATCACTAGAAAAACCAAAAGGAAATCATTTAACAGGCTTTGAGTCCCACCTTTCTCGCTAACATGTTTTTCTATAAGCTAAAACTGAAAAATGACTTATGTTGTTCTAAGACATGAAGAAAATGATAAAGGATAGAAACACCTGTTTCAAAAAAAATAAAAGAGGTGGGCCAGGGATTTAGCTCAGTGGTTTCGCCACCTGCTACGCAAGCACAAAGACCCGAGTTTGATCCCTGGTACCAAAAAAAATAAATAAATAAAAGAGGTGTTTTCCTTTTACTTGTCAATAATTATTCTTCAAATTGAAATATAAGCTTTTAAGTAGTGTTCCCGATTCAGTGGACAATGTTAAATCAGCTCATTCTTACTGCATTTTTACCCATATTAGAATGGTCTCACAAATCATGTTCCTTTTTTCCAACAACAATGCAAAACAAAATGATCTAAGTGCTATAATAAGAATAGACCAAATGTCAACAGAGTCCAAGGAGGGTGCTGGGAATAAATCATTTATTCAACAAATATTCAGCATTTAATACAAGCCAGGGGCTTGCATTATATAATGAACAAAACACTTATATCCCTGCTCTCATACATTCAAATTAGTGAAGACATTTAATAACAATAAACATAATGCATATGTAAATGAAAATAGTATGCTAGATGGTGATTAGTGCTTTGAGAAAAATGATAAGACAAGGAAGGAAGGACGGGTGGGCAGTACCAGTTGTGTGTGCATGTGAAGTGGAGGATTATGCAATATTAGACCAGTGGTCAGGGTCAAACTTAGGAACAATGTTGAACAATGACATGAAGACACAAAGGTTAAATGATCAGAAATGTGGGGCAAAGGACTCCATGCAGGGGAAATAGCTACAGCCAAGAATCCTGAGTCCTGTTTAAGGAACAGACTGAGGCCAGGGTGGCTGACACCCAATGGGTGAAGAGGAGTGGGCAGAAAGTGGTTCAGGAGGTAACAGAGGGCTCTGCAGGATGTTGGAAGAACTTGACTTGTTCTCTGAGAATTGAAGTTGCTACCACTTTAGGGTTTCATGTAAAAGAACAATGAAAGTTTCCTCTCAGAGACCTGTAAAATTATAGAAGCAGAGGGTCCTGGTAAGAGAATAATTTGATAATCCAGGCAAGAGATGGTGGCTTGGACTATTGTGGGCTGTGCAGGCACTGAGATGCAGTTGGGTTTGAATATGTTTGGAAGACAGAACCAACAAGATTTTCCTAATGTAGGGAAACAGAACCATGCCAGGAGATCTTCAAGCTTTCCACATTCTGCTGTGCCCATTAGTTGGATACCTGCTTTCAAATCCCACCCGTAGCTCCTACTCTCTCACCCCAATACCAGTCCTGTTCAAGACATGTCCAGAGCCACCTGTTCCCGAGGAGTGGGATTATATGGAGGTGTCAATGTTTGTGTCTCCTCCAAAAGCACACAATCAATGATCTTGAGGTGAGGCAGGCAGGCATTGTCCTGTGGGAAACTTGCTGTGGACAGTAGCAGTGGTGAGGGTCAGAGAATCTGTCCTATGGTTGAAATCTGTAAAGGTGCCTCCTGTCTTGATCCATCTTTCATTCTTGCCCCAGGATTTCTCTTTGGCAGATAATCCAAGAAAAGTGAGGGTACTCACCAGGCAGGCTTAAGAAAGCCCAGAGGAGATTGAACTTCATGATGACATTGAAACGTTTTTCACAGGGTAAGGTTCAGCTCATGGATTCTAAAAGCAGGAAAGGGTGGTGGTTAAATAAGACAAAGCAGGACAGAGCTCTGGGGCTGGGAGAAAAAGTTACCTGAATTCTCTTGGTGGGAGGATTCAGTTCAAGAAAATGGTGTTCATGCCTCAGAGTAGGGGTGGTGTCAGCTGTGAGTGCAGAGAGAAACTGAGATTGTGAACTTGGCCCCTGACACAGTAGGAAACTCTTCTGCAATCAGGGTTTTGCCCTTCCTTTCGTGGAAGAAGTAACTTCCCAGAGAAAAGTTGAAGTTTACAGTGTACCCCCGGCCCTCTCTTCTGTGGACAAGCAGGCAAGTGCCCTCAGAGCTGTATGAGGGCCCTGGCCCCCTCCTGTCTCTGTGATGCTGGCCTCCATTTGTGTGACACTGTAACTGGTCTCCAGGCAGACATGTCCAGTCCTCCTTGGCTGATGTCGCTCTCTCTGCCTGACATTAAACTCCTCTTGGAAACATTTCATTCCTTTGCTTTCTGTCACTATTCATTTATTTATTTATTTGTTCAAGCAACGAGCCAGTGATTTATGTTCTGTGTCTCACTTGTGGTAAGATCTGTGATT